CAAAACTCACTGACGATGCCGGCGAAACGTCTTGGAATCTACCACGTCCGCGGTCCGACTTTGGAATTGATTATGCATACAATGGACTCCGGACAAGGTGAGTTCCTCCATGTCTTTCTACCAATATGACCGAGTTGTGAAAACAAGGTCAAACAACTTCTCTTCAACGAAAGGAGACTGCGACCACACAAAAGGCCACACTCTTTTGGTCTTCATACCTTCGATAATCTTTCATGTATTTGCTTATTAATTAGATCATTTTTAATAAGTTAAAATATTTAATCATTAGGCTGCTTATTTACCCTATTTTCAGAACTATATTTCATATTTTATTTATCGCAAATAATTTTAAAATCTAAAACCAAACCCTATATATAAATTGATAAAGTTCTCCATTTGAACTCGTTTAGTTCTGGAGAATTTAATTTTTTATGAAAATTAATAAAGAGATTTGTTTGTTGATCTTATCGGAACATAATGGCTGATTCCCATCATCACAGCTACAACTAACTTTTTCAAAAGCAGTGCATATTATCAATTCTATATAACACATATAATAGAGGCGAATAGTCTTCTTGACTTAGTATCAACTTTGTGCAGGAATGACTTAAGAAAATAACAATTAAACAGGGTCTAAGTTTTGATATGCACTAAGCTATAATCTATCTTTATTCACATGAATATTACTTCAATTATTATAGATTTTAATTATTTTGAGAAAATATTTTCTTTCTTCTGTTTTTTATTTGGTTTCAGATTTGTCAAGGCTACATATATTTATTATCTACTCTTGGCCTTCATACACTTCAGCTATCCTGATTCTTAATATCATTTCATGTTTTTTAATGAGTGTCATTCATCTTTTAGTGTCAAACTTTCATCTGAATATTTTTTCCTAACCAATGCCCAGGGCCTAAATTCTTTGGGCATCTGCATTATTTTTTACTCAGCCAAGTCGAACTGGAGACGAATGGCTTTCCTTTCGAAGACAAGAGCCCAACAGCTCCAAGGGGTCGGGCCAAAATCATTTATCCTAAGGATAAGTTAGACATATGGGAAAGTTGTGCTGGTAAGTAGAATAAATTAAGATTTAATTTTATTACATGCCTGTCATTAACACTTACACACAGACAGTTGTTTGTTAAGTTTTTTACATAAACTTTATACTCTATTCGTAGCTTACAGAAAAATATGACTCATACACTTGTATATAAAGACGAGCTTCCTTATTAATATCGCTGGATAAAACCGCTGAACAATTAGAATTGCAAATTGCTCTATGATTTTGAATGCACAATGATTCTACTAATTATCGGCGCGCATTAAATGCTCTTGTAAACACCGTGTCAGGCTTCCCGGTCACTAGCTGCGCCTTTGAGACAGATTAATGGCCATACCAATTTCTATGGCGTTATACATTATATAAATTCCTCTTATTTAAACAGCTAATTAATTGTACCGCTCTGTATCTCATCGATAAATGGAAGTTCATCATTTTATATTAATTTTAGTTTGATTAAAAAATACTTCATTCTAATTATTACAGATCCGCTTCTTTGAAATTTTGCGTCGAATTTCAGGCTCGATTCACTATCTAACCATGACTTTTCCATATCATGTGTGTTTTATTATAGATAAGAGAAGGATTATGCCATGGAATTTTTCTAAGCCTGGGTGAAGGTCATACATAACATTTTTATTTTGTAAAAAGAAATTTTTAGTTCACGCCAAAATGTCCGCTTCTTTTAGAAATAATTAAACGTTTTTTTAACTCTTATTGACTCTTAATTTTGCCATTTTTTACTTTTAGTTTTCATATGAGTGCGAAATAAGAGTAGTTAACTTAAAATCATGCCATACACATGGATGCCTCATTTTGGTTACCATTCAATGTTTCTATCTTGCGTTAGAAAACGAGCGAATGTGCTGTAGATGCTTCAACAAGTTTGTTGTGGACAAGTTTGGTACAGCAGTTTCTTTGGGGCCCTGCATCTACCATTGGGGAAAGCCTGTCAGGCAAAAATGTAAGCCTGTTCAGTCCAAAATTTTACCTTGGATTTTTTCTTTTAACTGATCATCCCACATTTACTATTACTAGCATTTATTTTAACATTTTCTTCATGCAGACTGGTTTTATTCGATTATAATCAAATTTCTGATATAATTCATCGATATATATTTTGGAAACGCTTTTACTTTAGTTTAATTCTTAACTTGATTGTGTTTAATAGCTGAGAATTTTTATTGTATTTATTAATGGATACGAGGATCAAGAGGATAGCTTTGATTTGTGTAACAGTCTCTGTTTGTAGTTTGTTTTATTATAAGATTTCAGATAACTCAAATTGAAATTCGTGGCAAGTATCTAAACGTTTTATAATGGCTATCATCATATCTTTAACACCTCACTTGAATTTAGACATGCCTTTAGGTAAATTTGGGCCGCCAGTCAAATATTTCCCTTGTTTTTGATTTGGGTCTATACTCTAGCGAAAATATTTTCTTCGAATAAAATATTTCGTTAAAATCTTTGAGTCCTATTTTCCAACACCATTCACTCCACGCTTCATACGATTCCAGCCTTCGGTTCTGGCTTTGAGCTGTTATATTCTTGCTGCCAGGCAGATCTTGGCCAAACCGGCTGCCAGATTTGTCCAGCTGGACACGTTCATGATTCAAACAAACGACTCGATTTAGACGGCTTCATCACCATGCTGCCGGCTCTGCCAGTTGACCCAACATCCTCCATATGCAATGTATATGCCGTCGACTGTGAGATGGTTTATACTACCGCCGGGTTAGTTATCTCATATACTTGGTTATTACTTTTTCACTATTTTTATTCGCCTATAAATCCACGAAAAGGACTATTTGAGCAATAATGTAGAAGAATAATCGATAAACCTCTTAATGTCAATATAATTCGAATACCCGTTAATTACAATGACCAGAGCGGCATTAACTAGCATTTTCATATTTTACTTTGTTGCACCTTCCACTTCTTTTTACAAGACGGTGAAGAGGGACAAACTAAAGCTCAGCATAAATTTATCAGGGTCGTAGGACGGTGCTGAGGGCTTCTCCATATAAATCAACAATATTTTGCCTTCTGATGTGGCTAATTTACGGATCTCATCCATACACCTTTTCAAACTAAATGATATAAACGAAAAGGCCACTTTATTAAGTGATTCGTAATTATTAGGTTTTTAAAAATATAAATAGATTTTGAATAAGGACTGCAATAATTAAGAATACAAGTAATGTTATCTACTGTAATAGCAAATAAATTCTTATTTTATCGATAGTCTCACTATAAAAATGTGATATGGGAGAAGCCTAGCTTACCTTGTAGGTCAATCTATCCTTTGACTTACTGGCACCTGTGAGAGTGCGGCCTAGCGGTAAAATGGCCCTGCTATACATGGGTTCGATTCCTGTTGGGGACGCTGATGATACCTAGTCGAGCTTGAAACTACAGTCCACTCTGGATCAGAGTACCTTTGGGGAACTATGGCTAGGTGAAATTCACTGGCATCGTAGGACCTATTCATACCTTTGTAGGGAAGATATACCATCAGTCTATCACCTTAAGTAATCTAGGGTGCCTACATTTTATAATAGGTGATCCAATTCTCTCCTGTTATACTCAGTCTATCATTTGCTTAAATGTAGAGCGTTGTTCAGACGTATTGAAATAACATTCAAATCGAAAATAAGATTAATTTTATAAGATGTTCTTAAGCTTCATTAAATAATTGAAGCTAGCTGACATAACAGGTTTTTTCCACCAGCTATTCATGGCTCACTGAGCTATAAGTTCATAAAGTATTCTTATTGTGTTTATATCCTAAAAATTACTCTGTAATATAAACGAATTAGCAGGGAAGTCTCATTATTTGATTGCTTTTATACCTGCTAGTTGATATTCCACTGACTAATTAAAGAGAAGACTTGCGTATTTTCTTTATTTTCATCGTTACGTGCACCACAGAATAGGATTATAGTTTATAAACGTACCAGTGGACTTAAATTTAAGAATTTTTTCTCGGAATAACAGATTTTAAGAGACATGGAGAATTAAGGATGAACTAATCTACTGAATAGGAATAAAAATGACTAACTAACACTTAATTTTAGTGGTTTTGTTGAGGCCAAAAAGAAAGCCCACTTGTTTACAATCGACATTTAGGATATATGGCAAAATAAAATTTTTCTGCATGAACAACGATTCTCTTTATAATATAGCGCTTAGCAAATGTATGAACCATCAAAACTATGCTCCCAATTTCATGAGATTCAATTATAGCTCAAATGTAACTTATTGCACAGGCATACCACTCGATTCACAATGCCATTACGAAGTCCAATTTAAGATTCGTTAGAGTTCTCGACAATTCTGAGTTAATCTCTTATAAAGTTTAGCTTTTTCCCTATCCATATTTTGTTGCGTATTTGATTATTTATCTGATTTTGCTTTTTTGAGCTCTTCACAGTCGCAAACGTCCAGTAGTTTTCTATTTCTGAATCTTTTAGTTCTCGCAATACGATTTTATTTTATTTTGTATTATTTAACTTTTATAGTTAATGCTAAAATAAAGGTTTTTATTAGCATAGTTCTTATCATCAAGTCCATCACAATTTCTATTTAGGTTTCCCCTTTTTCTGCTGAACCAAATATAAATTATTTTTTGTCTTTTTAACTCTGCTTAATATTGCGGAGTTGCAAGCTCGCTCCTTCTCAACGAATTATAGATTCCAATGAAATATCAAAACACCTCATTATTAACCAACTATTAAAAAATCTTACTTAGCTTCGAGTTGGCGAGAGTTACTGTGGTCGATTCGCATCTGAGAAGTGTAATCGACAGGATTGTAAAGCCAGACAATCCAATAGTAGATTGCAACTCGCGGTTTTCCGGGCTTCAAGCAGAGAACTTGATCAACTCGGAGATACGATTGACTGACATTCAGATGGAATTGCTCCAACTTTGGGATGACGAAACTATTCTGATCGGCCATAGTCTCGAGAATGATCTTTTTGCTCTCAAGGTACTTGGTTTATTCTCAAAAATTTACTCATAAATATGATTTTATAATATATCCATCTTACTTCTCTCTTTGTATGTAAATTATAGTGAGAATCGATAAGCATAGGATTATTGATGCACCAATGAGTATTTTGCATAACGAATTTTTCATTGTCTTCCTTTATAATTAGGTTTTGGAGACTACCAGCAAATCATTTATATGTGAAGTATGTTCGTTTAAGGTGATAAAATGACTGG